CGTCACTGAGTTGCCTTCAAACTTTCACATTGCCACGAACACCAGTTTGAAGAGTATCTGCACTAAGCATTACCTTTCTGCCCTCTCTGCCCCGACTCCCACCCCTGACCCGTGCCCCAAAGGTACCAGCAATCTGAATACTTGTTCATGAGCTTTTGGAAAGCAGTCTATCCCCAAAGGAAAAGATGGGGTGGGGATGAAAAGGAAATGTGTTTGCCTATCAATATTTTCAGTGATATTAGCACAGGGACGCACTTAGTATATGGCATCACAGACTGCAGGAATAACAAGTTGTTTATTAAGGAAAACATGTCAGGGGCAGGCGACTTAAGAACATGATGCAAGTGCTTTTGTAAAAGGACAAATGAGGTCATACAATATTATTATACTTTGAGAAGTGAGCTTAAGTGCCAACTTAATCCTTAGACAAACACGTACAAAATCAGGTGAAGCTGCGGCAACCATTTTTGTCATTTTCTCACTGAAAAGGAAGCCTCAGTAATGATTTCAGTACATTCCTGTAGCTGCATTTCTTTGCAGTTGTTGGCACTCAGTACAGGGCTTCTCAAGTGATTGGAAACTACCAAGTGATTCCCGCCCCCCCCCCCCAAATGAGTAGGGAGAGATCATCTCTTCGCAAAATGAGTAAAGGCAGAGAAGCAACCTCAGCCCTAATGTTCAAGTGATCAGGCTGCTTTCCTCCTGGGGGCAGATGGGCTTCCTGGAAACCATCCCTGTTTTCAGTGAATGCCTGTGCTCCCGTGCTCCCAAGATGCAGCCTGGCTTCATAAGGCAAAGAAAGCAGCCTTGGATTTCAGTTGGAGAGTGATCACACCCTTTTCAAACACCCCAGGCTCCCATGGGGCTAATGTTCAGGGGAGGTCAGAATTTGACAAGCTCAATAGTACTGTGACCCAACACCTGAATTTAGAATTTGGCCTGGGAATCGGTGTCAGGACCCTGGCAAAGCCTATCAGTCCCGAGAGCAAGGCTGCAGAGTGTCAGATACCAACCGAAGCAAACTGATGTGCTCCTAAAAGGCTGAGCTGGAAGGTGTGAAAACAACGAAACTTTGGTACTTTTTTGGAAAAGATACTGCATCACACCTGCCAATGAAGTAGAGAAATTCCCTGCATAACTGCTCATGTCCAAAGATTGACCACCTTTTCTTTTCTCTATTCCCCCTTCCTCCCTTTTCTTCTTCCCTCCCTATCTTCCTCCCTCCCTCCCTTCCTTCCATTCCATATTGTCCATTTTTTAGGAGAGGATTGTCTGCCAGTGTCCCGATTCTAACTGAGAAGGAAAATCCCAATCCTGCGAGATCTTTAACAAAGTGGAGATAATTTATATCTCTGATTTGAAGAGGCTATGAAATTATGAGCATTGAAAAAAGTTGATTAACATTCTTTAATTGGCATGGTGGGGCTTTTATTAACGGCCAATCTCAGAAATGAATGTTTGTCTTTAAAATGGCATTACGCTTCTTGCTATTAAATGGTCATAGAACTATTTTTAAGTTTTATGTGAATTAGCAAAGCAAATTGACTCTCTCCCAGCCATACTGGAAATTTAGAATGTTCAATTTATCAACTTCCTTTAAGAAAAGAAAGTAAAATCTGAGTCTGTGGACAGTGGGGTTCTAGGCCACGTGAGAACCCAAGTGAAGGGTGTGCTGTCCCAGTTTCAGGTCCAACACTGCTCTCGTCCTGTGGCTGATAACTCACTGTCCCCGTGCGGTACAGAGACTTGTTAACTGCTTGTCTGGACCAACACATGTGGATAGAGAACAGAAAGGAAATACATAACTTATACCTCACTAGGTATTCATGAACCAAAAATAAAATTCTATTTCTATGTTATATTTACACAATTAGAAAAGTCTAAAATGAGATGGCAAAGTCATAAAAACTTTGTTTTAAGCCCCACTTAAAATAAAATGAAGTGATCCCTATGATTGTCGTTCTCATTTCCTATGGATATTTAGAGCCAGAGTTGGCTAATAAATAGAAAACTGCTTATGCGCAGAATTTAGATTCAAATACGGTGACACTGTTTGACCCAATGAAAGAGACGTTTACAATCAGATCATTCCTGAATAGCCTTTCATTTTTGAGAATACGGCTAAAAGAAACTGAACCCCAGTACTGAGGCAGAGCTGGAGCTAAAACAAAGTGTTCATACACACATGTATTTTGCATAAATAAATGAAATAACAAGACATAAAAATGACTCAAATCCGGCAACTGTGAGGCAAGCCCACACGAGTCGAAACAGATGACTTTTGTTCATGTAGTTTTCGTACAACAGTTTCACATTAGTCAGAAGTGATAAAAAATACCATTTATATCCAGTGCTTATAACACTTACGAAACAACATCTGTGAGTGTGTGTTTTTTTTTTTTTTCTTTTTTTCCTACAAGCAAAATCAAGTTTCAGTCCTAAAGAACAGTCCTTTGTTCTCTACCAGCCCAGAATATTATTTTGGCATGGTCATAAAAACAAACAAAATTAACCTACTATTCTAAATGTTTGCCTTTGTGCAAAATTAATTACATACAATACAATGCTAGCCATACAGCACTCTATCTATGCAACAAAATAAAAAAGTGAGAGAGAGAGAGAGCAACAGCTAAAGAGAAAGAGAAAATGTGAGAATGAACTGAGGAGGAGAGGTATATAATCAGAGAAATCAGTAAGACAATAATAAATACTCCTTTTTTGAGAAAAATGACCTCCTCCTCATGTGAAAGAAATATACAAAAAGAAAGTTCCAATCCCCAACCAATATTAAGAACAAAACACTTCTCTCAGTACCTTAATCAGCTTAGAGGGAGCACTCCCAGCTAATGACGTAGCCGCCAATACCTTGGCTAGAACTATGTATTGCTCTTAGGCATGGCCTTGAGCACTCTTTAAATAAATATGTAGGTACACTATTTTCTTCCAAGTGGCAAAATGGCTCAAGAAATCTGATGGGGCCGTTCCTATGTCCTGGTGATCAGATTCCGGGTTGTCCCATGAGGTGAACTTTCCAATTCACTGACATTCTCCCAATGAACCACTCTGGGTGAGGCCTCCCATGGGCAATCAGTCCTGGTTTGAGGAACGTCAAAATGGCATATCAGGGCTCCCTGTCATTAGGAGATGGGGAATGAAACCTCACTGCCTCCCAGGCCATTAGCACATCTCCAAGGAAATGTGTGGGTGACAAATGCAGTTAGTCTTGCTCACACACAGCCATGGCTCCCATGTGGCCACAGATCAGGGAGTCAGTCAGAGGAGCTCTCGTGCTACTCCAAGAGATATCTGTTCCCCAGAGTTCACAGTAGGAACATCCCATGTAGGGAATGTGTTTCCCCCTTCTCCTTCCCTATGGTTTTCTTTCATTCTCTGGATGCATCATGACTATTTGCCTCTATCTTTGCTTTGAGGCTACCATGTGACTTCTTTTATCCTGGGAGTTTTGCAAAGAACTCTCCCTAGTTATGCCAGCTGGGATGAGGCAACTCAGGGTAAAAGTGCCTGCCCTTAATAGCCTCACTGTTGTCTCCTGCATGGCCTGTAAGCCTTGGGCTTCAGATTTGGCTGCAGGACTCTCCTGCCTCGCAGTCACCACTGCTGACCCTTGCAACTGAATGCTGACCCGACCACGTGTTGCTGAACTGAATTAGGGGAAAATTCTGGCAAAAGATTGAAGGTCATAGCAAACCTCAGGAGTATACCTATTTAATGAAGTGTTAAAGTTATACGTCTATATCCAAATACACATCCCTGTCGCCAGATAGACACTCGTGTTTAGAAACCACAATGTAGGTATTTAATAGTATCTTGTTGCAGAGATGCTTCCAGATACTCTGGGGACATAAAATTACTATGTACATCTTTTGTATTTAGCAGGAGAAGGAGGTGAAAAGGGCTGAAAAGTTCTTCTGGGAAGGAGGGTGGAAGAACAAGAATTATTAAATTAATGCCACCAACAATATACTTTTTTTTTTTTTTTTAATAAATAGTAAGTGGACCCTTGACATTCTGGAATGAATAAATTATTTAAGAGAAAATGTTTTAAGACTGAATGTCAGGGTTAAAGGCAAAGGGATAATGGATGTAGTGAGAGGTGATCTCAGGCGGAGAAGACCACCACATCATATCTGGTGTGGTGGTCACTCTGGTGTGCATATGTCATACCACGTCACACACTGATGGCACGTCGAGAGGCAAACACAATTGGGTACATGCACTGTGGCAACTTTGTTCATTCCTTACAATAATATCTTGTCTCCAGATTCCTGAGTACTTTACCATTTTCTGGAAAAGAAAAAAGCGTGGTTTGCTATTTTATTTTAAGATGCCAAAGATTGTCTAAGACTTTGCAGTGTCTCCTTTAAGACTTTCAAAATATTAAGATTCAAAAGTTATGAAAAAGTTTGGCACATTCAAAGTTTAACTCTACACATGGAAAAATGGAATTCCGAGGCCTTTTGAATATGCTCTCCATGCTGCTGCACACGCCGTGGACTTGTTCTGTTTCACAATATATGAAATCCTCAGATGTTTTCTAAAATAATTCAGAATAAAAACACATTCACAACCTGTAGGCCGGCACAGCATACCTGAGTGAGAATGTTTAACCCCATCTAAAACAGTAACTTAAACCTTTATCAACATCCAATAGGAAAAAAAAAAAAAAGGTAAGACAAAAATATAAGACTTGTAAGACAGCTATGGGTTGAGATAAATTTTCAAGTCCTGGTGTCTCATATTTAATATGTCTTTACCTAAATTAAAAAAATAATAATAACAACAACAACAACAATAACGACAAAAACTCAAGTTCATGAAAAATCAGGGAAAACTTAATCTGTCTCACACTTTACGAAACGATTAAGACCATCTGCTGATGTAACTGTGGAGCCACAAATGCATGCGGGCTCTTTAAGAACTTTTGTTGGGGGAGGGAAGATGAAATGTCAGAGTATTTTAATTCAGCGAACAAACGCTCCTCAGTTGGCACTGACAGATTCCGGGGCTTCATTTTCACTGCTATAGTCTGATTTGGGATCATCTTCATAGTCATCATATATTTCCATTTCATCTTCTCCATTAATCATCTCATTTCCAGCTAAGCTTCCACCGTCTGTCTTCATACCATAAGTGCTCTGGATAACTGGGAGACTGGGCTCTGGGCTGGCAGAGGTGCTAGAGCAGTCAGATGTCATCTGAGGTGATGGTGTGGTAGTTGCCATAGTAATAGCACCAGGATACACAACACCTGTTCCTGTGGTGATTGGAATCTGAGGCTGTTGCCTGTATAGATGAAAAAATGAAAAATAAAACACAGGAGAAATCTTCATCTATCTATATATTCTTCTGAGTGCTATTGGAATTCATCCCCTATACATTCCAAAGTGGGATTCTGTTTGACATTCTAAGCAAATGACAACATGTGACAAAGGTGTTCCTTGGAAGAGTCCTGCAAATCTCCCTTATGCTATGTTGTTGTTGTTGTTATTTGCCGTCGAGTAGGACCCGACTCATAGCGACCCCTCCTTGGGTTTCCGAGGCAGTATCACTATGGAAGTAGATTGCCCCGTCTTCCTTCCAAGGAGTGGCTGGTGGGTTTGAACTACCAGCCTTCTGGTTAGCAGTCAAGTGCCTTAGGCACTATGCTACCAGAGCTCCTCCTTTATGCTATAGTTGTGGTTAAATAATAAAATGGAGTAATTCATCAATGGCTTTGCAAAATGAAAGGGAGTTTTGTGTTTTTTTTTTCCCAAAATATTGTAAATATGGCAAAGCTTGGTTAATATTTGGCATTTGGAAAAAAAAAATGGAGTTTAATTCCACAAAGGTGGAAGGTCAGTCATTTTTCAAGATCTCCCAGAACATTACAAAAAATAGACTAGAGGCACACGGCCCAATGACACTGTTTAACAGGCTTGAATCACCATCACTGTGGTTTGAGAACTGCACAGAGGGAAGATAAAGATGAGAAATGACTTGTCCCTAACAGCTCTTAAGCATGACCTTAAGAGTCAGCTTTGTTGTTGTTGTGTTGTCGAGTCGGACCTGATTCATAGTGACCCCTCCTTGGGTTTCTGAGGCAGTATCACTACGGAAGTAGATTGCCCCATCTTCCTCCTGAGGAGTGGCTGGTGGATTTGAACCACCAGCCTTCTGGTTAGCGGTCAAGTGCCTTAGGTACTATGCTATCAGAGCTCCTAAGAGTCAGCTTTAGTAACGTATATATTTGATACCAATGTAAATGTCTATTTCTATGGCTAAACTTCTGGGGAAGCTCCCTGAAGCTTCTGTTTCCTTAATTATGGAATAGTCATCTTGGCTATCATTACTCTGAGGGCTTGGACTAGAACTGGGGTAAGGAGGGTCTGGCCCTGGAGTTGTCAGAGTAAAAAGTAGTGAGAGCTCTGCAGCTTAACAGAAAACAGATATATTACCTCCTCCTAGATCCTAGCAGGTGCCAAGACCCAGTCAACACCATATTATTCTTTCATAATGTTCCTCTGGTTCAAATAAACTTACAAGACCCTTTATGAAGGTCAGTCTTTTCCCTCTGCAAGAAGACATGGCTATGCCACTCTAGTGTCACTTGAGGCCTTATAACTGGTACGAATTTAAGATCTATCTACATTAGAGACTATAACTGAAACAATATTCTCATGGATGCAATATTCACTAACCATTTTTCCATATTCATATATGTTAATTGCAACTGAAATTAGCTTTAAAATGTCATCATAGCTAGCCTTTCTGAGCCTCAGTCTCCATACATTTATAATATTGGAGTCAAGGAAGTCCTGAAAGCCCTTCTACTATTTTGATCTTGTGGTTTCTGATCAATCACCACTTGGACAATTTTTATTGACCCTATCCATTATCACTGAAACTTTTCTATTCACCTCACTTTAACAGGATAATACCCTGAATCCATGAAAAAATAGCTTAGTTACCAGCTACTCCTTTTCATGTCCAGAAGAAATATAATTTTGTCACCAAGGTCCATGTGTCCTCGAGCCCAGCAAAAGATGAAATGGTAGAGATGGCCTAGAATTACTAAATGAGATTTCTGATAATGCTATCTTTAACAACCTCTTTTAATGAGTAACACAAACCAAACCAACTCATGGTTACAAAGTAGAACTGCTCGTTAAGAGTTTTCTTGGCTATAAGCAAATAATCAGAGAAACTGGATTATATGAAGAATAATGTGGCATAAGGATTGGAAGAAGTCTCATTAACAATCTGTGATATGCAGATAATACAACTTTGCTTGCTGAAAGTGAAGATAACTAGAAGCACTTACTGATGAAGATTAAAGACTATAGTCTTCAGTATAGATTACACCACAACATAAAGAAAACAAAAATCTTCACAATTGGACCAATAAACAACATCATGCATGATAAATGGAGAAAAGATTGAAGTTGTCAAAGATTTCATATTACTTGGTTCCACAATCAACACCAATGGAAGCAGCAGTCACGACATCAGATGACATATTGCACTGGACAAATGTGCTTCAAAAGACCTCCTTAAAGTGCTGAAGAACAAAGATGTGTCTCTGAAGACTAAAGTGTGCCTAACCCAAGCCATGGTATTTTCAATTGCCTCATACACCTGTGAAAGCTGGACAATCAATAAGGAAGACCAAAGGAGAGTTGATACTTTTGAGTTGTGGTGTTGGCAAAGAACACTGAAAGTACCAAGGACTGCCAGAAGAATGAACAAATCTATCATTGAAGAAATGCAGCCGGAATGCTCCTTGGAAGTGAGAATGGCCAGACTTCATCTCACCTACTTTGGTCATGTTGTCAGAAGGGACCATTCCCTGGAAAAGGAAATTATGCTTGGTAAAGAGGAGGGTCAGCAAAAAAGGGAAGGCTCTCAACTAAATGGATTGAGTTGGTTGCAATGAAGGGCTCAAGTATAGCAAAGATTGTGAGGCTGGCACAAGACTGGGCAGTGCTCCATTCTGTTGTACACAGGGTCACTATGAGTGGGAGCCAACTCGACGGCACCTAACAACACACAACAATCTTTTTGGAAGTAGTTTTCCAGGCCTTTCTTCCACAGAGTTAAGGGTGGGTACGAACTGCCAACTTTTAGGTTAGCAGCTGATCACAAGCCACAAGGGAGGCATAATACTGATCTCTTAACCTTTGACTAACATAACATATCAAATATTTTAATACATATTTTCTTACTCAGCATGGCAATGTGACAAGTTATTATTTTTTATTTTTATCTATATATTTTTTATTGTGTTTTGGGTACAAATTTACAGAGCAGATTTTGTTTTACATTCAACAGTTTGTGCACATTTGGTTTCACTCCCCGATTACCATCCCCAACCCTAACCCACTCTCCTTCTCTCCCTTCCCTGTGCCACTCCCATCCCTATGCCCGTCTTAGTTATAGTTATGCACTCCTGTCTGTCCAGCTTTCCCTCCATATGAATGCTGCCCTTCTGGTGCCCCATGGCTGATTGCTCCAAGGGGTGTATCTCTATAAAGTAGGTGGGCACAGCACCCTGGAGTGGGTGTTCTGCATGTAAGTCATTCTACTATTGGGCTGAGAGCGAGACCTTGGGAGTAACTCCTATCCCAGGCCCAAAGTGTATCCCAGGACCATAGTCTTGGGGTCCCACCAGACTCCATCCAACCAGTAATTCTGGTCATTATCATGGTTTTGAATTTTGTTCCACATTTTTCACAATGAGTTATTATTATTCAAATTTTTTCAGATGAACAAAATAAGGCCTTGCTTAAGGTCACACATTTAATTAAAAGCATGGCCAAAATTGACCCTATGTTTTCTGACTCAAATTCCATCACTCTTTCTTTTATACATATTCAATATACAGACACACTAAAGTCATTACACCTTATAAGAAGTCTTGATTTCCATAGGGCTTATTGGCACTGAAGACACACTAAGCAATTGATACGGATCCATTTTCCATGACTCTCATAGTGATTTTTCAGACTGGTGCAAGGAACAAGATGACAGAGGAATCTAAATCTATGTATGCTGTTATTATTAGTTGTCATTGAGTCAATTCTGACTCATGGAAACCACCTGTGTGTAGAGGAGAACTGTTCCAGTGGATTTTCAAGGCTGTGACTTTTTGGAAGCAGATCACCAGGCCTGTTTTCCAAGATACCGCTGGGTAGGTTTGAACTACTAATCTCTGTGCTAGTTGTCAAGTGTTTAATTGTTTGTGCCACACAGGGACTTCTAAATCTATGTATAGAAAAATATTATAAAATACTAGTTTCTCCATCATAGAATCAAATTCTAAAACATTGTATGTCTTACTTCCTTGGTTTTGGGCAAATTAATACAAACTAAATTTCATGCTAACCTGTTCATGGCAGTGAATGCCTCATTAATTTTTTATTGAATTTGGATAGTTGCAAAAAAAGTATTTCTGATTTAATCACATTATAAGTGTAGAGTGAAAACTTTTACTGTGATATTAACCCATTTTACAGATTTCATTAATTTGGTGAGCATAATCAGTGACAGAGATTACATATTATCAAATGGTATGTTTTCTTTTCACAAAGAATAGATATAATTTTTCCACATTTTTTTTAAATTAAAATATTTATCATTGTATCTATATCTATAGATCTAATAAATAAATTAGAATTGAACAACTAATATGTATCTGGCACTATGCTTTTATATGTTTTCACATTATTTTTTCAATCCTCACAATAAGCCTGAAATGGAGGCATCATTTTCTTTCATTTATAGATAAAGTAACAATTAATATTCAGATAGTTTGTGCTTAACTGCTGTGCCACCAGGGTTCTTCATTCTGTGACCGACTGGTTCACAAATTCCCTATTCCACATCCAGATTAGGATGTTGTTGTTATTGTTGTTGTTAGGTGCTGTTGAGTCGTCTCCGACTCATAGTGACCCTATGCACAGCAGAGCGAAACAATGCCCGGTCCTGCCCAGATTGGGATGAGAGAGGCGATTTAAATCAAGTCATCTAAACTGAGCTCCCCATATTTAACAGTACTTAGACAATTAAGTTAGTAATGGAATGGTAAAAATGATGACAGATAGAAGTTAGGTAGACAGATAGACAGACAGACAGATAGATAGAGCATCTATACAACTTAATTTCTGGAGTGAGATGCTTATAATATCAAAAGTCTATGCCTGGTTGGTAGAGAGATAATGTTTCTTCAAACTCCATGCCAGTGCTAAAGTCTAAATTGCCTATGGTAAAAACCAGAGGTTATTCTCTACTTTGAATAAATGAGAATA